CCAACACAAGCACTATGTTGACCATTGGGTCATTTCATTCCGGTATGTGCAAAAAGAAGTGCACCAAGTGTGGATTACACTAGGATGAAACACACAACAATATTGATGTCACGCAAACCATAATTCGATACCTATTGGCCACGTCCGACCGCGTCCGAAGGCAAATGGGCCTAGGCTTCAGATGGCCGGGTGGACGATGCCCCCGACACAAGCACTGTGCTGACCATTGGGTCATTCCATTCCAGTATGTGCATCCACACTATGCTGAAACACACAACAAACTACTGCCATGCAAACCACAATTCCACACCTATCGATCGTGTTCGCCCGCGTCCGAAGGCAAATGGGCCCGGGTGGCCGACACCCCGACACAAGCACTATGCTGACCATTGGGTCATTCCATTTCGGTACGTGTATCGACACTAGGATGAATCACAAATCGGTACTGGTATCACCCAAAGCACAATTCGACACCTATCGGCCGCGTCCACGCGCGCCTGAAGATAAATGGGCCCGGGCTTCAGATGCCCGGATGCCCAAGGCCCCGACACAAGAACTACGCTGACCATTGGGTCATTCTGTTCTAGTATGTGCAAAAAATAATCCACCAAGTGTGGACTACACTAGGCTGAAACACAAACAATACTGCTACCATGCAAACCATAATTCCACACCTATCGGCTGCATCCACTCGTGTCCAAAGGCAAATGGGCTCGACCTTCAGATGGTTGGGTGCCTGAGGCCCCCGGCACAAGCACTACGCTAATCATTGGGTCATTCCATTCCGTTATGTGCATCCACACTAGGTTGAAACACAAAACAATACTGCTATAATGAAACCACACTTCCACACCTATCGGTCGCATCTGCTCGGGTCTGAAGGCTAACGGGCCCGGGCTTTGGATGGCCGGGTGTGCAATGCCTCCGAAACAAGCACTACATTGACAATTGGGTCATTCCATTCCGGTATGTGCATCCACACTAGGATGAAACACAAATCGGTATTGGTATCACGCGAACCACATTTCAACACCTATCGGGTGCGTCCACGCACGTTCGAAGATAAATGGGCCCGAGCTTTGGATTGCTTGGTGCCTGATGCCCCCGACACAAGCACTATACTGACCATTGGCTCATTCTATCTCAGTATGTGCATCCACACTAGGCTGAAACACACAACGGTACTGATCCCATGCAAACCACACCTCCATACTTGATGGCCGCGTTGGCCCGTATCCAAAGGCAAATGGGCCCGGGGTTCGGGTGGTCCGATCCCTGAGGACCCCCGACACATGCTCTATAATGACCATTGGCTGATTCCATCTCGATGTGTGCACAAAATAATCCACCAAATGAGCACTACACTAGGTCGAAACATATAAGGTACTGATCCCTTGCAAACCACCCATCCACACCTATCGGTCGCGTCCATCCATGTCCGAAGGAAAATGGACCCGGGCTTCAAATGGCCAGGTACCCGAGGCCCCTGACACAAACACTATAATGACCACTGGGTCATTTCATCTCGTTAAGTGCACAAAATAATCCACCCAATGTGGACTACACTAAGCTTAAAAACACAACAATACTAAACCACACATCCACACCTATCGTACGCATCCACCTGCATCCAAAGCCAAATGGGCCCAGAGTTCGGGTGGCCCGGTCCCTGAGGCCCCCGGCACGTGCACTATAATGAACATTGGGTCAATCCATCTCGGTATGTGCATTAAATAATCCACCAAACACTAATTTTGATTTCGTTGTTGTTGACTTGTTATTAAGTCCTACATATGGATGTATGTATTTAGGAAGATAAATCATTTATGGTGGAAGTGGATAAACGCATTAACATGACAAATAAAGACTAATCAGATAAAAATATGGTAAATGTCAGACATGGGAGATTTATGAAAGAAAGTACTTTTACAAAAACAAGTTTACGTAAACAGATTACAGGCAAAATATTTGATCCAACATAAACATATGGTCATTTAGACACAGTCCGATCTCATTAATGGTGACCACTTCCATCATTTCGTGTACCAATATTCTGCAAGCGTATTGTAAAAACTCACGTCTCAATGCTAGATATGCTGTCCTCACGTCCTCTAGTTCGGCCTCCCGTTCAAGGCAAATACGTTGGTACTCCGACGGTGTGATCATAGATATTGGATGGCAACTCAGGCAGCCATTTCAATGGATGCATCGGGAGCATCGGTTGTGTCCCCATAGAAGCTTCTCACATCACCTCACTGAATCACAGTAACCACTGCGTAAAATTTGTTGCCCAAAGTATTTATGGTAAATCTTGGAGGTGGGAGGTGGCAAGCAGCCACAGTTCGCCTCAGGATATCAAGTAATGATACTTGGACCTCATAGGGTTCCTCCATTCAAAACTACAAAACAAAACAATATAAAAAAATTCTAAGAACATGTAAAAAGTGAGAGAAAATTGATACCTAACAAAAATGATATTAGTTTCATTAATAACTTAGAAAACAGGGGAAAAAATTCTTGCTGTTGCTCAGTTGCATAGAATAATAAAGATGACAAAAGAGAGAAAATGGAAAGAATGACAGCGAAGGAAGAAACAAAGAGAGTTA